CCTTGTTATCCTTGGATTCCCAGCACAAGCAGAGAAGGGGCTGGATTTTATCTCTGGGAGCTATCCACTGGCCATACCTTCTCAAAGCTACCCTGTAGTTACTGCTTGGATAGGGATAGTTTACATATTACCTCCTTCCCTTGCAGAGAAGCATTTTTGAAAGACAAATCCATGATTCTGAAAGTTGAGGATAAAAGGAGCCGAGTTGCTGAATAATTTGAGCTCATACAAAATGTATGCAGCAATGCATGTATTGACTTGTTTCGGTGAATATCACAATTTATTGTCCCTTGAACTAAATATTGACACAGACAAAGCAGCGTCAATATTTATCTCTCAGGTTAATACATTTTTATATTCACCTCAACATCCATCAATATGTGGTTATTATTATGATGATGTTTGTCCTTCAGCAGAGGGAAGTTGCATGTGGGCAATCAAGGGAAAAAGGAGTTTTATATTAATATTCTTTTCCTATTTCAATCTTCATGAGATGCTTTGTCCTGGACATGGAGCACACTGCAGGCCTCACTCAAACAAAACTCTTATTGATGGCTGTGACACTCTGCGCCGAGTACAGGATCGAGCGATTGATTTTCGGGAAATGTGGAGCTAGCTGTCACTAGCAGAGGGGGCAGCAGAACCATCATTTTTGTTTTTACAGCGTTTTTTTGGTGGTGCTTCCTCCAGTGACTCTGTAACTAAGTGAGATCTGCTTTACAGAAAGCGAGATGTAGAGCCAAGCGCGGGGCACAACCTGACAAGAGTCTGGGAGCCAGGTGGGAACTGCCACCTACGAAATGATGCTCGTAAAGCATAACGGGGACATCTGCAAGTCTGTTAGGACCCTTGTGTTCAGTTTATCTCATGCCTGTGTTACGTGTGGCACTCTGAGTGCCAGCTGAAATGTTATTTCTGGGCATTCGTTAATACTGTAGAGAATAGTGGCATATTTGGGCCACCTGCATCTCTTCCAGGAAGAAAGTGTGCGTGGGCAAGAAGACGTTAACAGTGCCTGAGGGCTTATCCTTCCCATCTGCCCCGTCTCTTCTTTTTGGTCCCAATTCTGGGACTTCGAGAACAAGAGAAAGGAGGTTTCCTGGGTAGAAGATTAGGGTGGGCAGCACAAAAAGGATGCGGGCATGGTGGCACTGAGTGTCAGTTCAGGGCTAGGCCTCGGGGACAGAAAGGCCTTCAGCACATGATTCAGGCTGTAGCGACACGTTTATCAAGTAGTGCCTCAGTTCCTCTCTGGACTGTGCTTTTAAACCTCCTGACCTCAAGCAGAGGGGAGATGGAGAGGTGGGAGATAAACAGAGTGGGTGTCGCAGGCATGGCGCCTTCCTCTGCCAGCCCACGCAGGCTGGAGAGGGCCTTGCTTCACACATCGGGCTGCGCGTCTGCTGCTCGCCAGAGGCTGCTCAAAGCTGCAAGGTTGGGTCTGGCACTCAGCCCAGCTGCAGGCACAGCACAGACCTTCCCCAAACGCCTGCCTGCCGGGAGCAGCAATGCCAGGAAAGCAGCGAGGCAAAGGCCGCCCGGACAGGCCCTGCTCCTGCTGCCCACAGCCCCGCCAGGCCGCAGCGTGCCGGCTGGTTTCCTTGCTGTGCTGGCCACTCAGAGCTGCAGCAGTGAAAGCAACAGCAGTTTGTAAACTGGTGATTGTCAGCAGACAGTCGGCATGTGGCAGGTGACTTGTCACAGGCAGACTGTGGCAGCAGCAGGGGTGCGCAACGGCGGCAGGCGCTGGAAGGCGTTGGGCCGCGTCTGGAAGGTCACCTCAGCACCCAAACCCACGGTGCCTTTTGTGGCTCATTTTCTTCATGAAAGCCAGAAAGACAACAGACTGATGATTTATGACCTTATTTGTAATGGAAAACAATGGTTTTGAGTCCTGGTTAAAATAATGCACGATATGCCCCAAACCCACTTCCTGAGAGCAACATCCTTAATTAGTGCTAGTTTTTTCTTCTGCTCTGGAGTTTAGCAGTGACGGCGCTTACAACCCTCCACAACCTGATTAGAGAGCTGTGTTTGCTCCTATTTTCAAAGCCATGGTTGGCAGAGTCAAACAGGGGCCAAGCGCTTTCCTCCTGACTGGCATTTTGCTTCGTGATGGCGAACTTAATGGTGGGGGATGCTCTTGGTATCTTCACCTTTTGGAAGCTGGTAACTGCGGTAGGAAGACTTTGTGACTAAGGCACGGGGCAAATGTCACGCTATACCTTTGAGTATAAAGCTGGGCCAAGTACACAAGTGCAAAATGAGCACTCAGACAGCAAGCCTCCCTCTGAACCAGCGGCACCGCTGCCTGCACGCGAGTCATAACTCAGTAACCATATGCTTATATTCCACTGGCAATTGCCATTTAAATGTCAGTTTACAAGCAGATGTTGAGAAGCCTCCTTTGTGCCATTACTCACAGAAAAACAAAGTTTGAGGCTTAACCCTGTTTGAGCTCGCTGTGATTTGGGGTAGCAGCGGTCCTGCAGACCCTGACTCACCAGGACTCAGTTCCAACAGCCTTGGCTAATGGCGATGGCAGCCAGATATAGGCGTGTGTTGGCATTTCCTAACAACAATTGCCATTTTGTAGATGGTTCCAAGTTTTGTGGTTGGTTGGCAGTGGCCAAGATAGAGGAGAAATGTGGGACTATAGACAGGGAAAGAGTTAAGTGTCCAGGTCTAGAAAAAATAATGATAAAAAAAAAAAAAAGACAAAAAGAATCTGCTTAACAGAAGAACAATCAAAACCTGGGAAGGCGGAGAAGGAAGCCCTCTCTGCTTTACCAGACATTTGCATGTATTTAAAATCCTTCCCAATAAAGTTCATAATGAATTTAATTCAGTCCCCTATGGCCCAGAGGAATGTTCCGAGTAATAAAAAGTATTGCTAAGGGAGAGATGACTGCCAAACTCGTATTCCATGCCAGCGATGCATATTTATATTATTGGCACTTAAACGCTAGGTTTATTTTACTACTTAAATGATCCTTTGTCACATATTAAGAATTAATACTATAAGATCTACTTTTGGGAAGTTACAATAACAATTGCTGAATTTAAATCATTGTTAAATTTGTACGCTTTACTTTTAAAGAGGCTTAGTATTTGTTTTTGGTTGTTTTTTTTCAGACCAAAATAGTAATTGAAAGTGGCAATTCTTATTTATGGCTTAGCCTTTTAAAATGGTTTTAGTCAAGGATCTTTTCATGTCTGCTTTTTGTTGTTGTTACAGTGAAATATGCACATCAATGTTAAACGAATTATAAGCTCAAACACTTACTTAAAAGGTGGTGTATTCACTTACACACAGTCAATTAGGTAACGCAAGGGCTCCTGGCTTCTGGTGGCACGGTCTGATGCGCTTCTGAAGATTAAACCCAGTGATTCAAACCTGTGTGGGAAATGTCAGGCACCAGGGGTGGAGGTCACCGGCCCACAGCATCACTCTGTTTATAAACATCATTATTCCATGGGAGATAAATCTCTGCTCTCACCTAGCGTGTCACTTCAGTGCAGTAGGTAGGAAAACAGAAAAATAAATAAAATAAATGGAGCTACTAATTGTTTTCACTTTAATAAGAAGGAGTGGAAAGGGAAGCTGAATATGAGATGAAATGTGAAGGTGTTTAATTCCTAGCAGGCAGCAAGTGCTAGGGAAAAAGTGCATGAGTACTGACATAAGATGCAGTTTGTTTTACATTTGAGTTGATACGGAGTTATTTAAGCACCTTCTGCACATTACATTACAAGATTAAAATCTATATAGCCAGTGTACACGTTCACATTGCAGCAATAATTCAGTCAAAATATTTAATCTGTTAAGGCCTGAACATAAAGCTTTTTCTTTTGATGCACTTAGGCTTACTGCATACTTTTAAGTGTGAACAGCTGGAAAAAATACTGTGAATTTGTCAGTTTTCTTTTTCTTTTTTTTTTTTTCTCTTTTTCTTTTTTTTTTTTTTTGTCCAAGTGTAAAAATTCAGTTACTTATCACTGGCAAATGAGGAAGTTTTCCAGACATTTCCTCCCAACCCCAAAAGTCTAACCTCCTCCATACTATGCAAGGGCACGAGCAGCTCATTTTTCACTTGCTGTACAGACAACGAAATATTCAATTGCCCAGAACAAAAGTCTCTGAAGGATATAAGGGGGAATCTCAAGCATTTGGCAGTTTGGCCTAAAAAGAAAGGTCAATGGCACAGAATTCAGATACGAGTGAAAAATTGGGCTTCTCAGTGCACTGCACATGAGCTCTAAAACTGAATGCATGCAGTGTATGCTCAGTTTTTCACAGCATCATTCATAATTTGGGAAACTATTAATCAGGATGATGAAATATCCTTTTTGTGACTAATAACACAAATTTTACACAATAGAGCTTATTTTCTTTCCCCTTGAAAGAGATCATATGGTAAAATTTGGCAAGAACTTTGCAGGCCCTGGTTTGTGGGCTTTGTGTTTAGGCTGCACAGGAGAAGAAGTCACCACAGCGCCCTGCTGCGATCTTTTTGTAAGGCTCAGCAAAAGTCACTGCTTAGGGCTCCTTGTTTTCTGTCAGTCTGTGCCAGGACCACTATCCCTGTATTTGTTATGCTGTCAGCAGATTAAAAAAAAAAAAAAAAAAAAGTAGATCAGTTTAAAAAAAAAAAAAAAGTAGATCAGTTTATGCCAGAGACACTCCAGGAACTGAAACAAACGAGGCAAGAAGTTGGGGAGAGTCAGGCAGCCAAGCAGGGGCACAGGACTGTGTAAAAACAGGGATGAGAATAAGGAGACTGTCGGTAACGGAAGTAAGGGGAGTTAAAGAACATGAAATGGCAAAGACGTCTGCTTTTATCACTTGCCTACTAAAAATAGGCTTCCTAGTTGTCCTCCCCCCCAACCCTGTGAATCTATTGCTGTATTTTTCAGCTAGCTACTTCCCCATCCTTCCAAAATTACCGTGACGTGAAGTGACTACTTTTGCTGTGACATTAAGCGATTAGGGAAGCACATGAGCAAAAAGACGACTTTTATTTGGTATCTGTCATTCAGTGAGATCATAATTATGGCTTTCATTAAGAAAATCAACTTCTTTAAGAAAACCTGACGTTTCTTGCCTTTCCTTTGATGGAGATGGTGGTGGAGGGAATGGGGAAATACCCTGTCTAAGTTCTGGCAGTTTCAAAGAAAAAAGCTTGATTTTCTTCCACCCTTCCCCTTACATTCATGTCTGCTCACTAGTAAAATACCATTTTTCTGGCTTGAAAACAGTGGGAATGTACTGTTTCAGAACTGCATTCCTACAGTGATCTGTTTAGTGGGGGCATCTGCCATTCTAGACAGGTAAGAAAACCTTTCTGTGCTTCTGCTGGGAAAGGAGGCACAGCACTCCAGGAAATAAAAACCACAAGTGTCTCTGGAAAGGCAAACCACGCACCAGCAAGATACTCTCTGCTACTTTGTGCATTTGCAGCAGGGAAGGCAGCCTGCAACTTGCACTCCCTCTGAAGCACTCGCATAAGGCACGCTTCCTGCAAAGAGAAAAACAAAGCGGGAGCAGTAAACCTGTGGCTCTATTTTGTTTCAGAAGTAGAGCTTTGAAGGGGAGCACTGTAGAGGAATTATCTCCTGTACCTCATGGTTCATGTAAGATGCCAGCACATCTGTGTGCTGGAAGTGGGTGCCAGGGAGGACTGGGGTGCCCGTCCTGGGTGCCCATCCCCTGCTCCATCTCCTGGTGGGCGCTGAGCTCTCCCGTCACCAACACGTTTCTCCAGGGCTGCACTTCTGAGGATGGCATTGCTGCTGCAGCTCCGCTGAGCAGAAGCAGTGTTTTCAGACATCCAGCACTTAAGCCACCCCCTTTTTAATGCCATCAGTGATGCAGCAATGTGTATTTATATCTACATATAAATACAAAATGGTCGGATACCACATTTTAAAGCATAATTTATAATCCGAAACTGTTTACACTTTCATGATTAGGCTTGGGTTTTTCTCATTTACATTCATAATTTAATTCCACTGGAATTTGATTTTAAGAAAGCCCAACAAATCTTAATTACCATAAAAAGATCCATACATATTTTACTTAAAAATATCTTCTGTAAGAGGAAATTTACCAAAAATAACACCAAATATATTACTATGCATACAGTTTCTTCTTTTTTTGTAAAGTACAAACAAGAATCTGATCTCTTTTGGGTATTGCCTGATCTTATATGGCTATAGGTTCTATTTATTTTGTTCATTTGTTTCTCAAAATAAAGGGAAAAACATAAAAAGTGTAAGAACACAGACCAAAACAAAGACCCATTCTTTCCAAAGATATAGGCATTGATGAAAGAACACCTTGAAAACTAATAAATGGCAACAGGTACAAAGAAACACTATCCAAGCACTGTGCGATCTTTTGTCCGTAGCATATGCTGCAATGACCTCGTAACAGTAATTAAAACAAACAAACAAAAAAAGCTACTGGCAGAAAAAGCTGTTAAGCAAAACACTGAAAAACTGGTAGTGTTTCCTAACCAGTAAGTGCAGAACTGATACTAGGTCCTTTGTTTTTTTCCCCCTACATACGCACACTTCTCCCTCCGAGACAAGGCTCTCAGACACGTGATTTTTGGGTGGTCCTTTGGGGACCCAGGCGTTGGACTTGCTGATCCTCGTGGATCTCTTCCAGCTCGGGATATTCTGTGACTCTGTGCTTCTCTGTTTGTTCACAGGGCTGATTGTTGCAACTCTGGCAATATGCTGGATGCCAAACCAGGTTAGAAGGATCATGGCTGCTGCAAAACCAAAGCAGGACTGGACTGTCCCCTACTTCAGAGCATACATCACTCTTCTTCCCATAGCTGACAGCTTCTTCTTCCTCAGCTCCGTGGTGAACCCCCTGCTGTACAACATCTCCTCTCAGCAGTTCCGCAGCGTGTTTCTGCAGGTCCTCCGCTGCCACCTGACCATACAGCACGCCAACAAAGAGAAGTTCCTCAGAGCCAACCTGAACTCGACAGCCAGGAGCAGACGGTCCCTGCGCCCGCTCTTCTTTTCCTCTGTGCGCAATTCTTCCACCAAGAGCAGCAAGAAAGTTTTTTTAAGTACTTTTCAGACTGAGACCAACTGCAGTCCACAGAAACCAGGTCTTGCATCACTGGAGCCCAGCTTGGAAGTAGTGCCACTGAAGACGAGCTCAGAGCCCACTCCAGACACACAAACCAGCCTTTGTGAAAATGAAGTATGACTTCATATATAAGGCAAAGTTAACGATCAGCGATGAACTTAAAAACGTGAATTAAAGTGGCTGAGGAACTGACTACATCTTAAATGCAATAACACAGATGGATTTGTTTCCAGTTATGCAAAAAGAGCAGGAGTTCTGGATCCTGCTGTTTAGATTTTTAAGTGCACACTGGAAATTCAATCTGCTAACTGAATTCATTAGCTGCCAAAAATGTCAGCCTCTTTCTCCCCACAGCCACTGAACTTCCCTCGCTGCTGATAGGGATTTGGAAACAAATAGAAAATAATTGCAGTGTCTTTGAAGAAAGGAGACAGAACAAACTGTGCAGAGCAAAAAACTTGCTCGAAGTTTAGCAATACAAAAACAAGAGAGACAATTTAAGGAGCAGAGCAGTGGTTATCACATGTGCCCTCGGCACCACACCAGAATTCCCTCTCTTCTTCGGCCGGGGTCCATTGCAGAGCGGAGTGTTGCAGCAGCTGATACAAACAGAGTTCACTTTCCCAGGAGAGCAAAAAGACTGATATCCGGCAGAGGCTATCAGACAGGCTGCTGAAGATGCGCAGGATTTGCGATACATGATTCCTGTGACACAGAACAAAGGTTACTCAGCTTGGTACAAACCTAGCTTTCCTTTATAACATGACTCACGCTTGAAAACTGTTGCAAAACCAGTTAAATCTCCAAAGCAATGCTGGTGATTAAGACACAAACCTGAGCTGGGACGTGACTACCAGCTCTGCACTGCAGGAGGATCATGGCTACCCTTTCTGGCATTTTTTTCTTTTATTTAACTCTGGTTGGAACCAAAAATACTTGATTCACATAATGTACAGCAAAATGTATTTTATAACCAGAATTTTCCATGTTTTGGAATACATTGTTTGAATAGCTACAACTGGAATGCAGTTAGTTTGAAAATTACTTTTTGATGCTGAATGTGTCTGAATTAAGGTGTCTCCATAGCTACTGTTTTATATGCTGTTAATTTGCCTTTTAATGTGTTTTTTTTTCCCTTTCTTGTTGCTTTGCCACACAGACACAAGTAACCAAGAGTAAAAGGAGAATGACTCTCAGCAAAACTTTCTTCTTCTCTACCCCACTTTTTTATTTTAAAGAAAAACTAGAAGTACTTTTCCAAGTAATCGCAGTTCTTGCTCTCTTTGAAGTTTAATGCTTCAACAAATAATTTCCATTTGGACAGAAATGGGTTTTCTGAATGTCTTTTATTTATAAATATGACTAAATTTAATCTATTTTAATTAGTTAACCTAATTAAATTTATAACTTCTCAAATTCTTCATATCTGAAAAAAACATGTACATTCTGATGCACATAGCTGTTATTTTAAAATGTTCCATAAAGGCTATAAAATAAATAGTTGTCTTCCCCCTCCCATCCACTCCCAAACACAGCAGGAACCAGTTGCGGCAGTTCCACCTCTCATTGCTCTAAAATTTTCCCACAAGTGATACAGTAGAAATTGTGCTGGACAATGGCATGCACCATCTACATACTGGAGGTTTGCTCGTATTGTCTTGTGGTTGCAGAAAGAGGTAAATATTTCTAAGGCTAATAAAATGATTCCTTTAGAACATGGGATGCTCAAAAGGATTTTTCTTTTCCCCTCTGAAGGACATGGGACCAGGATTTCCTCAGACAGTGCCTCCAAACCCTGAAGCATGGTTTCATAACATTTCCTAAACACACAGTGATTAAGAATTGTTTTTTTATTATTGACAGAAACGAGGCAGGAAAGTAACCTGCAGGTACTTGTTAAATCCCCAGGAACTTCAGAAACAAGCATTGCAGCACCTACACCGTTCAGTAGATACTTCTGCAGTAGCAACTGGCACCACACTACGAAGTGCTGTGTGTAGCAGCAAAATACTGTTTATCTGGGTAATGTTCAGAAAGAAGGATTTCCTGCCTTCAGAGGATCTTAATTAAAGCAGTTCTTTTGTACTGTCACTACCTCGCTGCCATTCAAACAATGTGAGGACTTCTCTGCTTTTTGTTGTCCCTCCTGCCCCAAATCTGAACTCTGAGATGTGTTTTAAGGCTGTCAGGTTAAACTCAAGAAGAGAAGCCCTCAAGACAGTATTAAATCTTTCTCTATCTCCAGTGAGCTTCAATCAATCAACACAGCAGGTGGAGTCTTTTCTTAGGAAGGTAGAGGAGCTACAGGCGGCTCTAACCATACCAGCAACGGCTGACTGATCAGGAGGCACAATATTGGTGTAGGTCACAAAAAGGAGAGCTCTGGCCCTGCTGACAAACCATTGCCAAGGGGCCTCGACTATGCTGCCATCAATAGGCTTATGATACTGACATCTCAGTAGATGTCTCCCACAAAGATCTGGTATTTTGTCCGAAGTCTTCCTACAGCTGAGGCAGACGTGACACTTCCCATGGCTGCAGTTAACTTTTTTCTTTCCCTTTCTCTCCTGAAAAAAAAGAAGTCCTACATTCAGTGGAACTAAACACAGTGGTTGTTTTCCCCCCTCTAATCCAGCACCTCTTCATCATCTATTCCTTCCCTACAGCTACAGCCACCTGCCTAACTCAGCCATTCTTCAGTCTTCCATACACAGCAGCAAATCTCAGTTTTCTCCTCAAAGCCCATGTCTGCCAAAAGCTTTTGACATTGGCAGATTTGCTACTCCCATTGTTTTATAGATCATTGCCTGTCTGCCATTTCTTTTTTGTGGAATTCCTGCAAGGCCCTGTTCTCAACAGCAAATGATTTAGCAAAGTCCCTGAAAATATCATATACCTTGCAATATTCCAGTAGACTAGGAGATGAGAGCTGTACAGTGCTGTGAACAATTAGGCAATGCGCTCGGATGCATGTTTTTCACCTGACAACTCCAGGAGACCTCTCCTGCAGAAATCGAAGTCCTGCAGCGTAACTCCAGGCATTTACAACAGCTCTGTTCTACAGGATAAATTCCACAGAATAATCCTGAGCTCTTTTTAAAGTCAAACCCCAATATTCCGGCACAGACCAGAATTTTACAACTTTAGCACTGGAGTTTCACACACAGATGGACCATGTTCACGCATAAATAGAGAGAATAATCTCACCAGTAATAAAATCCCATTGTAATGCTTCTCCTGTGTCTTTTCTGTAACTATTTTTTTTCCAGTTGGAAATTCCACTCCCAAATGATTGTTTACTCCCATTTCCAGCTATAATCTGAATTGTAACAAGATTCTTGACAGAATTAAAAAAAGTCATCACTTCCATCAGTTTTTCAATAGCTACTAAGTTAAGACATCCTCCACAGCCAAGCTTTCTTTTTTCTTTAAATACTTATGGATCCTTTTCAGCTCACAAATTAGATGTTATTGTACACTAATTAAGCTTCCAAGAATTTATGAAGCATCAGGCGTGAACTAAACTTGATCAGGATAAAATGGCTGTCCCTCTTCTGTAGTTCTGTAGTATCTTTATGGCAAGACATAATGAAAATGAAAACAGGCATAGAAGATTAATGGAAAAAGAAAGAACATTGCTACTACAAGAGTGGCATTTTTAGAACATTTCAGCCACAAGTTCACTTTTTTTTTTTTTTTTTTTTTTTTTGACTTTGAGTGTCAGAAAGGAATGACACCCTTAACTGTATGATTTAAAGGCAGGAAAATACTCTTAAGCCTTTTTCACACCGTATTGTGATTCCAGTGAAATAAATTGTGGTAGAAAATAAATTAGCACAACTGACTTCCATGATTCAATGCCAGAAGCACTACCCCTCTTGCCCCAGCAATGGCTTAATATACCACAGCTACTGCAGTTGACCACTGGCTTAGAAATCCTAAAGGCCCAGGAGCAGGCTGTCCCCACATGCTAAGAGATAAGTCAGTGCAAAAGAAACCAGCTTGGCAGACCAGAGAGCTGTGGCTAGAGCTCAGGAAGAGAAAGAGGGTTTATAGCCTTCGGAAGAAGGGGCGGGCACTCAGGAGAACTGCAAAGATGTCATGAGGCTGTGCAGGGAGAAAATTAGAAGGGCCAAAGCCCAGCTGGAGCTCAATCTGGCTATTACTGTCAAAGACAATAAAAAATGTCTTTATAAACACACAAAGAAAAAAAGGAGGACTAAAGAGACTCTCCATCCTATATTAGATGTGGGGGGAAACAGTGACAAGGGATGAGGAAAAGGCTGAGGTACTTACTGCCTTTTTTTCCTCAGTCTTTAGCAGCCAGACCACTTGTTGCCCCCTGAGCTGGTAGATAGGGAGAGGGAGCAGAATAGAGACCTCATAATCCATGAGGAAATGCTTAGTGACCTGCTATCCACTTAAATGTGTGCCAGTCTATAGGTTCAGGTGACATCCACCCAAGGGTACTGAGAGAAGTGCTAGTCAGGATGTTTCCATCATTTATCAGCAGCCCTAGCTATCAGGGGAGGTCCCAGTCAACTGGCGGCTAGCAAATTTTTCGCCCATCTACAAGAAAGGCTGGAAGGAGGATCCAGGAAATTACAAGCCTGTCAGTCTAACCTCAGAGCTGGGGAAGCCCCTGGAGCAGACTATCTTGAATGCCATCACAGCACTTACAGGGCAACGAGGCCATCAGGCCCAGTCAGCAGGGGTTTATGAAAGGCAGATCCTGCTTGACGAACCTGATCTCCTTCTACAACAAGGTGACACACTCAGTGGATGAGGGAAAGGCTGTGGACGTGATCTACCCAGACTTCAGTAGGGCTGTTGACAACATTTCCCATGGCATTCTCCTGAAGAAACTGGCTGCTCAAGGCTTGGATGGGTGTACACTTTGTTGGGTTAAAAAACAGCTGGGTAGCTGGGCCCAAAGAGTCGTGGTGAATGGAGCTAAATCCAGTTGGAGGCCAGTCGCTAGTGGTGTCCCCCAGGGCTCAGTACTTGGGCCAGTTCTCTTCAATATCTTCATCGATGATCTGGATGAGGGGATGGAGCGCACCTGCAGCAAATTTGCTGGTGACACCAAGTAGGGCAGGAGTCTTGATCTGCTTGAGGGTAGGAAGGGTCTGCAGCGGGATCTGGATAGGCTGGACCGATGGGCTGAGGCCAACTGCATGAAGTTCAACAAGTCCACGTGCCAGGTCCTGCACCTGGGGCACAACTACCTGTGAAGCACCTCTCCTGTGAAGGCAGGCTGAGGGCACTGGGGTTGTTCAGCCTGGAGAAGAGAAGGCTTTGGGGAGACCTTGTAGTAGCCTTTCAGTACCTAAAGGAGGCCTACGGCAAAGCTGGGAAAATACCCTTTGTCAGGGGGTGCAGCGATAGGACAAGGGGTAATGGCTTTAAATGGAAAGAGGGGAGATTTAGAGCAGACATTAGAAAGAAGTTCTTCACTGAGAGGCCCTGGCACAGGCTGCCCAAAGAAGCTGTGGCTGCCCCATCCCTGACAGTGCTGAAGGCCAGGCTGGATGGGGCTTTGGGCAGCCTGGGCTTGCAGGAGGTGTCCCTGTTTATGGCAGGGGGTCCGGAATTATATATTTAAGGTTCTTTCCAACTGAAACTATTCTGTGACTCTGTGAAATGCCACTCTCCTTGCTCCAGCTAATATACCACAGCTACTGCTGTTTGCCCACTGAGCTCAG